GAGCTCTGCCCGCTGGCGATGAGCTCTGCCCGCTGGCGATGAGCTCTGCCCGCTGGCGATGAGCTCTGCCCGCTGCTGGTGAGCTCTGCCCGCTGGCGATGAGCTCTGCCCGCTGCTGGCGATGAGCTCAGAGCTCTGCCCGCTGGCGATGAGCTCTGCCCGCTGGCGATGAGCTCAGAGCCCTGCCTGCTGATGATGAGCTCTGCCCGCTGGCGATGAGCTCTGCCCGCTGACCAGGGATGCTCTGCTTTTCCTCCCCAGCTGCTGTCGTGTCTGACAGAGGCCTCGGTGGGTGCAGCAGTCCTGCAGCACGTGAATTCCATCGTTCCCTATTWCCTGTCCTTCCCAAAGCAGTGCCGGGCCCTGCTCAAGGTAAGGGATGGTGCTGGGATGTGTCAGTGGCATCTGAGATGTTTTTTCCCCTTCCAGCCGAGCTTTTGGTAATGTTTGGGCTGGATCCCCTGGCAGTTCAGTCTCTTGTAGAGTTCCCTTGCTTTCCTTTGTTCCTGGAGAGGATTCCTGCTCCTCTGCAGGTGCCACGAGGTGATGCCAGGCTGAGGTGGGTGGGTGRGAGGCTCTGTTTGTGGCTGCTGCTCCCCTGGGAAGTGGCAGGGAGGTGTTTTGGGAAGCTGCTTCCTCCTCCCAGATGGAGGGATTGCTGCCAGGGATTGCTCTGGGAATGTCTGTGCTGCCTGCCCACTCGGGGAGCTGGGGGTGGAATGTTTCTGTGGCAGCTCAGTCACAACTGCTGAGCATTTCCAACAACACAGGAGGCGTGGAGGAGGCACAGAGGGCAGCGGGGTGGCATGGCAATGACAAACTGTCAGGCAGCACCGAGAGGAGGCAGGGAAGCCTTGGATGGCAGGGATGATGGATGGCAGGGAGTGCCAGGAGGGTGGCACACCTCAGCTGAAGRTGCAGGAGCTGCGGGAGGGATTCTGAGGAGGCTTTTGCAGCCCTGAGCTTTCTCTGGGCTGGGTGAGGTGACAGGTTTAGGGGGCACCTGGCAGGGCCAGCCATGGTCAGGTGAGCCTGGGGGAGATGGGGTCACTCAGGACAGTTAAAYGAGTATTTGAGCACACAAATTAAAGTGTTGGTGTTATTTAGAGGTGCTGCTTTTGGACAAGTTCCTGTACTAATCATGGAATCATCAGCCTTGTGAGGCTGACACTGTGACAGCACCTTCTGTCACCTTTGTGTCACCCTGGTGTCACTGCCTGATGGGAGGGAGGGAGGTTCAGACCTGTCTGTCAGCAGAAAGGAGCTCTGTCCCTTCCCTCAGCTGTCCTTGCTGTCCCCTCCCAGCAAACCATCACCCTGTGGAGCACAGGAGAGGAGACTGTCAGAGTGCTGGCCTTCCTGGTGCTCAACAAGATCTGCAGGTACAAGAAGGAGCTGTACCTTAGTCCCCTGCTCAAGGTAAGCCTGGCTCTTGCTGTCATCTCCAGCTTTGCTTTCTCGTGTTCTGTGTGAATTCCTCAAAGCCTTGAGCTGCAGGTACTGGAGGTGATGCTGGCAGCCTGCAGCAAAACAAACAGGGCAGAAATTCCTTTAGGGCTGGGTGATTGCTGCTTATTGCTGCCCTTGCTGCTGGGGGCACAGAGACTGGGCAGGGGAGCACTCTGGTCCCTGA